ATTTGGGGACGTTGAGGGGCAGGTGTGGGCTGGCACTGCTGGGGCACTGGGGGACAGTGGCTGGCTGCAAGGGAAAGAGGGAAGGGTCCAAAGCCTCTCTTAATTCACTCGGGGCTGCCAGAGAGCCTGAAATTGGGTGGGAACAAACAGCTTTTGGTGTCAGTCTTTACAAAACAGAGAAGGGCTGTGGGACCCCTTTGGGCCAGGCAGGACAGGGCTGTTCCCAGCTGGACCCTCCTGGTCCTGCCCACAGCTGCCTGACCCAGCTCTGCTCCAGCCCAGAACCTTCTGCTGCCACAGCTCGTGCAGGAAATCTGGGAAAAGTGGAATTTCCCAGGGATTGAGCTGCATTCCAAGCCCCCACTTCCCTCCCCCTGCACCTATCTTATCTCTGCCTCTTCCTGAAATAATAGGAACAGAAAAATTAATAACATGAAAAAGGGAGGAGAGGATAAAAAGTATCTGAAAAATCATCTGTGTCCTCATTTCAGAGCTTTGCATGGTAACAGGGAGCAGGATGCTTTCTTTTTTTTTTTTTTTTCCCTTTATTAATGTATTAAAATATTAAAAAGCTGGGTGTCTCTTGAACCTGCTCTGTTGTCAGGGACTGAGAAAGCTCTGAGGAAGTCTTTTGGGGAGGCTGTTGCACTTGAGGAACTGTCCAGGGATGCCATGCATGGAGCAGAGCAAATCAAAGCTAAAATCCAAGTTTGCTGTCCTGCTGTTCATGGGGACAGAGGTGACCTGGGCACCTTGGGACAAAATCCCTGCCACCAGCATGCTCTCAGGGATCTGGCTGGAATCTCTTCTGATTTTCTTTATGGCTTTCATCTGGAAGGTCTGAGTGAGACCAGGCCCTTGGGAGAGCAGAGGTGGCTCTGAGCCAGGGATGAGCCAATTTCCTGAAGATTGGGCTCTTTGATTTGGCACTTTGGTGTGCTTCCCCTCTCAGGTTCTGTTCATTCCTGGGCAATTTCCAAAATGTGCAGTTGTTCTTCTTCATAAATCTTTGCCAACAAAGCATGCAGGCTTTGATGTTGCTACAGGCGTGGTTTTCTGTGCCACCCTCGTGGTGCCATTCATGGTGCAATGTGTGTGAGGATGGCTGTATGGCACAAATATAAATATAGAAATACATGTTCATCCACACAGACAGACTGACCAAAGGTGTTTTGTTTCCTTTTCCCTGGCAGGTCACTATGGAAAGGATATTTATCGCAGTGGAGGGCCAGATCTCCATAATTTCATCTCCTCCGGGTTTGTCACGTTAGGAAGAGGACACACGAAGGGTACAGTGGAAACCATTTTTTGCTAAATAAAAAGATTGTTTTAAATCCAAAGCTCGGAGCTGGCTGCTGGGCTCTGGGTGCCCTGAGCTGGCAGCGGGGTCAGCCCAGGAAATGTGGCTGCAGGGTCAGTGCAGGACCTGGGGGTCCTGGCAGGGGGATCCATCTGCCTGTGCAGTGGGACTGTTCCTCCAGCTTTGTGTTTTCCTGGGTGCATGGGTGCTCCCAAAGGGGGGCAGGAATGTCCAGCTGGCCCAGGGCAGGCAGTGACCACTTCCAGACTGTGGGTCTGGAGTTCTTTTCTTTGACTTCTGGGCTTTTATTTTCTTTCTTTCTTTATTTATTTTGACTGGGGGGGGGGTGAAGGGTTATGATGAATATTTTATAAAATTATTTCTTTTTAGCTCCTGAAGCCTATATTTTCTGTGTTCCTATAATCTGTGATATAATGTACAAACAGGAAAACACAAAAAATATACATATGCTGCTCTGTGTATGTTCTGTGTACATGTACTGTATATAAATATCTGTGGAGAGACAGCTTTATCACGAATAACCAAATCTCCAGGGCGTTCTGGTGACACCACAGCTGTGTGCTGGTGACACCACAGCCCCGGGCAATGCTCATTGATGACGCTGTTGCCTTTTTTTTTGGTGAGTTTTTCTGGTGTACAGTGAGACGTGTTCCGAGTGTCCTCCTGTCCCCCCCGCCCTGCCCGAGTGCCACCAGTGCCCTGGCTGTGACACTGGGGGTGCATGTGCCATTGCTGTCCCCTCGTGTGTCCCCAAGACTGCTGTACTCCCTGTAGACACGATGTATGTGGAGATTCCTCTCTAGACCAATGTACTGTACGTGGAGCTGTGTCCTCGTGCTCGCCTGGTTGAACGCTCCTGTGTTGTTTCTGTGGATGACCGTCACTCACAAATTATTAAAAAACCTTGATATTTTATTTTATTTTATTTTTCTACATTTCCTGCACTTTTTTCCAGTTCTCCACGAGTGTCATCCAAAGTAGTGTCGGTCTTGTAGAACTGTCAGAGAAGAAACAAATATATGTATATTGTCTGTGTATGTCTGTGTGTGCTTAAATAAAGTTTATTGAGGCTGAGGCAGCACCCGTGGGACTTGTAATCCAATACCCTGAATTCCAGTTTTGTGATCCAATACCCTGAATTTCAGTTTTGTGATCCAATACCCTGAACTCCAGATTTGTGATCCAATACCCTGAAATCCCAGTCCTGTAATCCAGTATCCTGTAATCCAATACCCTGAAACTCCATTTTTGTAATCCAATACCTTGAAATCCCAGTCCTGTAATCCAATATCCTGTAATCCAATGCCCTGAAGTCCACATTTGTAATCCAATCCCCTGCAATTCCAGATTTGTGATCCAATACCCTGGAATTCCAGCCTTGTAGTACAATACCCTGAAATTTCAGATATGTAATCCAATATCCTACAATCCCAAATTTGTAATCCAATACCCTGACATTCCAGTTTTGTAATGCAATACCCTCAGTTCCAGCCCTGTAATCCAATACTCTGAAATCCCAGTCTTGTCATCCAATACCCAGTGCTGGATTCCAACACCCTGCAAACCAATACCCTGCAATCCCAGATTTGTCATCCAACACCCTGCAATCCCTGACCTGTAATCCAAAACCCTGCAATCCAAATTTGTAATCCAATACCCTGAAATCCCAGATTTGTCATCCAATACTCTGCAATCCCAGATCTGTAATCCAATACCTTGTAATCCCAGATTTGTATTCCAACACCCTGCAATCCCGATTTGTATTCCAATACCTTGCAATCCCAGATTTGTATTCCAACACCCTGCAATCCCAGATTTGTATTCTAGCACCCTGCAATCCCAGATCTGTAATCCAACACCCTGCAATCCCAGATCTGTAATCCAACACCCTGCAATCCCAGTGCTGTTTTCCAACACCCTACAAACCAATACCCTGCAATCCCAGATCTGCACCGAGGGAAGGGAAGCAGAGGAACCTCAGGTGGGCTGGGAGCTGCAATGGTTCAAGGAAGGACCATGAGTGACATTCCACACAAGGTGTCCCCATCCCAAAGGATGCCCTGCCACATCAGGAGCGTATTTAGGGTCAGGCAGCAAAGGTACCCCAGGAGTGATGGTCCATGGAGTGGGGTGTCCCAACAGCCTCCACTTAGCCCATGGAGATCCCTGAGCAGGGCTGTAAATGCAGCCCTTTGTCCCAGACAGGTGAGTTATCCTCACCTGACACCCCTGGGCACCTCCCAGCAGTCTGCTGGACCAAAGGCTGCTCCCAGGTGAGAACAAAACCTCCTCTCCTTCTCTAGCTGCAAAGGCTCGGGGGCTCTGCTCTCCTGCAGGTGGGCCAGGGGTTTCCACACCTTTTCCAGAGCACATTCCTGTCCCTGGGAAGGTGGGACAGTGGGCAGTGGGAATGCAGCCTGTTCATCAGACAGGGGGTGCTTTCCAAACTGAATAAAAGGCTCCTGTTCTCTGCAGAAATGAATATCGTGGCTGTTTGCAGACATCACAATGGACTGGCCTTAGAATTTACCTTTCAGCTGCCTGTAAATTCACCTGGTTTTTGAACAGTGCTACAAAGATCATTTCCAGTTTCTTAATGGCAAATTCCCCCACTGCTGAGTGGTGAGAGTGATGAACACCTCACACCTGCTGCAGGACCTGCTTGTGCTCATGTGTGGCTTTGTCTTTGTCTGTGACACGACCTGATTGTCTGTTTGTGCTGTGACGGGGGGACTTGAGGTGTCACAAAGGACTGAGGGGTTCTATCCTTGGGACTGTGCCTGAAATGCTTGGATTTGGGGAAATATTGTGTGACAGATTTCTTGAGTTCAGCTTGAAGTGACCACCCTGTAAAGAGAGGTGAGAGCTTCAGCTAGGGCTTTAGATGGGAGGGTTCTGTGCTCTTTTGTCCCATTCCTGTTTAGATGAGCAGGTTCTGCCCTGTTTTATCCCATTCCTATTTAGATGAGCAGGTTCTGCCCTGTTTTATCCCATTCCTATTTAGATGAGCAGGTTCTCTGTTATTCTGTCCTATTCCTGTTGAGATGAGCAGGTTCTGTCCTTTTTCATTTCCAGTCCTTGTGCTACAACCTCCACTTCAGCCAAATAACCTCACCCTGCCTTGTGGACAGGGTTCTGCCCCTGGGCTGAACAAAGCCAGTGAAGTTTCTCTCAATATTTCTCTGCACTGGGAGACACATTTTTGGTGTTTTCTCAACTGTCTTCTGTACTGTGGCAGAACTCCAAGTGCTGAGTAATATTTAAGAGCTCATCTATTTTGGGCAGAAGACAAAGACGTGAGACATGCCAAAGTACCATGGATACCAAATCATTCACATGTCTGACATCCCCAGCTCCTGCAGGATGGGGATTCGTGGCTTTTCCATGAATTCCACCAGGCAATGCAGCACTGCCTGCCACCCAAAGGCTCTGGGGCCATCACAAGGTGTGTTCCTCAAACCATGGGCACTCACTGTGCTGGCAGTGTGTCAGGATTATCCCGGGCTGAATCCTGCCTCTTCAGGCCATGCAGGTCCCCATGGTGAGGCACCAGGCAGGGCTGAGCTCATCCAGCACTAGGTAGGAGGGAGTTGGATGGTTGGTTCTGAGGTAGCAGCTTTTAATTCTGTGTGGGGGCAGCTGGGGGACAGCAGCACCTCTGAGGAGCTCACTGGGTGGGCACAGGGCAGCCCAGGGGGGTCTGTGAGCCCCCAGAGAGGGAGCATGGATCCACATTCCTGGGTGGGAGCAGCTCCTGGTGCCCTGGAGGTGTGGGGAGGGTTCAGTGCTCTGGGGACACCCTGGGAGACAGGAGCCAGCTCACCCCTCTGTGCACCAACCTGATTTAAATCCCAGCTTCTCCAGCCTATTCCGAGCACCCTGGCACTGTCTGTGCCCCACCCTGGCCTGGGCTGTGCCCTCAGTGCTCCCCAGAGCTCTGGCACTGCCCCAGGCTGGAGGGGATTTAAGATAAACACCCCAGGGAGGGAACACATTCACTCCACACTGCCCGCCCCACAGCATATTGCTGAGTTTTCCAGTAAAAATGTGATTTTTATTTTAGGTTTTTGGGGTTTTTTTTGTGGTTTGTTTTTTCTTTTCCACTCTCAGTCTCAGACCTTGAAAATAGTTTCCCAATGGAATTGAGCTCCTTGAGTTTCAGCAGTCTGGGACAGCAGCAGGAATTCTTTAGAACAGACAAAATCTCTGTTCAGCACTCAAGAGCTTCTTTGTTTTCCCGGTAACTCTGCAAGAGTGTGAAAAATAGTGAAGTTATTTTCTGGAAAAAGCAGAACTTCCTGGTTGAGCTGAGTGCAAGGGCTCAGGGGAGTGAGGCAGGAGGAACAGGGAGGTTTAGACTCTTCTGCAGGGTCATTTCATAGGGGAAAACAGAGCCGTTCCTACAACCTGCTCGTTCCCTGGAAGCTTGTGCCAGATCCTGGAGGAGCTGCAGAGACAGGGCTGTGTGGAAAACTCAGGAGGAGTCAAATATCCCCAGAGCCTGCCCAAGAACACTTCCAGAAATGGAACCTCTTGGTTCAGGGCCGTGCCTGGAGTGCCTGGCAGGTGTGCTGGGAGTCGGGGCATCTGCAGGAGGCTCCTTCCTTGCTCAGACTTGCTGTGAGGCTGTTCTGCAGGCAGGAAGGAGAGGAAGGGCTGAGCCACCTGCCAGGGCAGGGTGCTGCCATCACCCTCAGCATGGCGAGGTGCAAACCTGAGGGCAGAGCCAGCCTGGTGGCTGAGCAGCAGGAGCTGCCCCCAGCACGTTTGATCTTGGATTTGCTGTGCAGATCCAGCAGATTTGCAACCCAAATGTGGGATCTGCCTGCTGGGCCTCTGCCCTCACCCATCTTGTACCTCAGGCATGGGCACAGGGCTCAAGGCACAGCTTTGGGGACACAAAGTTGTGCTTGGTGGGTGGGAACAGGGTATTTGTGCTTTAGCAGGACCTTACCCCCAGGTAGATAC